GCAACACATTTTTCACAACCACTTTCACCAAGACAGAAACAGTAACAATTTATATGTTGTTAATTAGTTACTTGTTATAGTAACAGCACAAATAAAACATAACATTTTGCCTAGTTTTAGAGGTAATAGTAGAGGTAATTCCATAACTATAACCTTCCTTGGGTGGAGCTTTCCGTGTTCTGTGTTGGTGACATATAGACAGTTTGATGCAGCCAAATTTGAATTTTATGGAAGATGATTTGTTCCATCAGATTTTGAATTTTAAATACCGCAGAATTTTTCACTTTGATTTTTTTATTCTGAATTACTGTTGCAGTTGTTGAAATTTGAAATATACTTTTTTCGCCTTTTAAATATTCAGCACAGATATTTTCAAGCCCTCAAATTCAAAAGTTAAAATTCAGAGTGTGAAATTCGCAGTGAAAAATTTCTCAAGATCCAAGGTGCCAAGACAGAAGCAATCGAATCGATGAGAGAGGAGGACAACGGTTATTTCCTATTTCTCATCTGTGAGCGGGGTTTACACTTAAGAAAAAAAAGAGATGATGTTGTGATGAGGATAATTCTGACCAATCACTACAACATTTCCTGCTTGTTATTAAATTAGATCGGATCACTCTGGATCGGATCACTCTGGATCTATTGCTTCGACACTCTAAAATTCAGAATAAATAATTCACCTTTTAAATATTCAGCACAAATATATTCAAGCCCTCATATTCAACAGTCAAAATTCAAACACTTAAAATCCCTAAAATTCAGAATAAAAATTATTCAAACATGTTTTTCTCAGAGTTAAAACATGCAAAGGGACAAATTCAGCAGCATTTAAAATTCGAAATCTGATGAAACAAATTAAAATCTTCCTTAGAATTTCCCTCCCTGAAGTATCTCTCTCTCTCTCTAGAAGTATTCATTTTAACACACTGCTACTTCCTGTATACTTTCCTGTCCTCACCTATTCGCAGTCACATGATTTAATGTTTTGGTGTCCATACTGGAGGGAGGTTGATCCGGATGATGTGATTCAGTTTACAATATAATCATGACGACTTTAAACACTGCAAACAAAATAAAACTGGCCGAAATCGCCAGCTCGTTAGATCAGCCGTAATTAGAAAGGTATAAAGCTAAAGTCTTTCTCATGGGTTGTGGAATAGATCCCAGTCTAATTCCGACAGAGCGCTTTGTTAGTTTAATCACTGCTCGCTCTTTGCCCAACCTCCAGGATCTGTTTTTTCATGTTAGATCTTCTTTCATAGGAAAAAAGCAAATGTTTTGCTTTGGCTTTCACTGGCGATGGGGTGTATGTGAATAATGATGGACATAAGATGGTGAAAGTGGGTCATCATTCTTCATACCTACGAGAAAAAAATTCTTTTGGTATCTATCATTTCATTTTGTGTAAATCCCTTCTTCGTTTGTTTAGAGATGGTCCCTCAAAAGAAATGAAATGTTGACTGCACAGATGGTTGTACTTAGTGAGCTCCATCCTTCTTTTTATGTCGCTATCCTCTTCTGTCTGTAATTTTTATCTGCCAGGATCCGATAGAAAGATACTTTGGCCTCCTTTAGCAGATTGTTTGGATGACAGAACATCCAGTAGCAACACAGGTCAAAACCATTGTTATTCAATTCAAATTTTATCGCACACAAATACTACACATTGGTCCAGATGGATAGTTTGAGCTCCAATATGGCGACATAAACACCAGGTCACATGGTTTTGTAACCTACATGCAAAACCTTAACGGTCATGAGCTTTGAGTAATGACTGAAAGGACAATATGGAACACGGTGCAGGGTTGCTGGGAGCTCCCTTAGAGATAGGATGAGGAGCTCAGTCACACGTGAGAAGCTTGAAGTAGAGGAGCAGCTGAGGCTCGGGCATTTATTCCGGACTCCTCTAGGACACCTTCCTGGAGGGACTATATCTCTAAGCTGGCCTGGGAACACTCTGGAGAGCCCGGTTAGACTGCTCCTCCCGTGATCCGGCCCTGGATAAGCAGAAGAAGATGGATGGATGGCTACTTCTACTTATAATCCTTTTTCCACAACTTGCCACTTCATATCAGGTACTATTCCACTAAACTAACTACAACTATAAAACAACTGGTGAAGTTGCTAAACCGGTTTCTTTGCAGGCACCTGGGTGTATACTGGTTATACTGGTGCAGTGCTTTAAAACCATCGGAGCTTGACTGGGGTGTGGCTAAACAAATAACTCCTCCTTTTTGTTGTTATTGTTAGGTCAGTGGTTCCTGGTCTAAAATCATTGCTGCCATGTGACGCTGTCCCTATAGCAACTCTTATACATATTATGATTGCAGACTCTACTGTGTATATGCTTAAACTGCACTGCAAAAAATATTTCTAGATTATATTTATCTTCATTTTAGTATTGTTTTCTTCAGTTGTTTAATGGTGTTTCAGACTTATTTCAATTAGGGGTGTCAAATTAATTAACTAAAATGAACTAAAACCAGGTCTAAACCAGGACTAAACCAGAACTAAAACCAGGACTAAACCAGGATTAAACCAGGACTGAACCAGAACTAAAACCAGAACTAAAACCAGAACTAAAACCAGGTCTAAACCAGGACTAAACCAGAACTAAAACCAGAAGTAAAACCAGGTCTAAACCAGGACTAAACCAGAACTAAAACCAGAACTAAAACCAGACTAAACCAGACTAAAACCAGGACTAACACCAGACTAACACCAGGACTAACACCAGGACTAAAACCAGGATTAATCCATTCCAGGACTAAAGTAGGACTAAAGCAGGTCTAAACCAGGACTAAAACAAGGACTAAAACCAGTGATCTCATATATAAAGCATTTCTCTATCAATAATATTTTTAATATGGTTAAGGAAAGACTGGACTTTTTATTGTCTTTAAGTAGACAAAAGTTATTATGTTCAGATTTCCTCGTCTTTGCTACTTTACAGCAAACGGTTTCTTATTCATAGAGACTTGGGCTCAACAGCCAATTTGAAGAGATTTGTTAAACAATAAATTACTTTATAAAGTCACTTTTTTTGTTCTATATCAGTCTTTTGATCTGCCACAATAATGTAATAATGAATTTAAATGAAAATACCTCAAATTGAAGACTTTTCTCAGCAATTTTTAGGTGAGATTAAAATGAGATTAATTAGATTAATTAATTACAGATCATAATTAATTAATCTCTCAATTTTTTTAAATCGCATGACAGCACTAATTTCAATACGTAACTTTCCATTCCCCTTATATTGTCTCTTACACCAATGGATTTTTTGAGTGGAAATTGCCATTCAACCAATTAAATATTCCATGCAAAAAATACAATATAATTTATAGTCTCAACTCAAAGCTTCATAATCTAAATTTAAATTATTATTTGTGGGAAGTATTTTTACTGCAAAATAAAATATAATGTATATTTTACTCAAGTGGGAGTAAATGGAATTGCTAAAATGCAAATTATGATACTGCTTATAAAGTATGCTACTTAAAAAATGCTACTACTATTGCTTCTGTCCCTATTTCTGTTACAATAACTTCTACTAAAGCTTCAACTACTGTTACTACTACAACTACTACTATCACTACTGCAACTACTTTTATTACTGCTATATCTATTACTATTACTACTACTACTGTTACTACTACAACAGCTACAACTACTACTGCTGCTTCTATTTCTACTACTGTTACTATAACTACTGCTATTATTACTACATCTACTACTATTACTACTACAACTACTGCTATTACTACTATTACAGCTACACTACTACTACTACAACTACTATTTTTACTACTACAGCTACAACTACAATGACTACTACTACAACTACTGCTATTACTACTACAACAGCTACAACTACTACTACTATAGCTACAGCTACTATGACTACTACTACTACTGCTGTTACTACTACATCTATTACTGTTACTACTACAACTACTGCTATTACCACTACTACGGCTACTACTTCTACTACTACAGCTACTACAACGACTGCTATTACTACTACTGCTACTACTACTACTGGTACTACTGCTATTACTACTACATCTACTACTGTTACTACTACAACTACTGTTATTACTATTCCATCAACTACTGTTACTACTACAACTACTGCTATTACTACTATTACAGCTAACTACTTCTGCTACGACAACGACTACTACTACTTCTACTACAACTACTGCTATTACTACTACTACAGCTACTACTTCTGCTACTACAACTACGACGACTACTACTACTATTACTACTATTTCTACTACAACATCTGCTATTACTACTACATCTACTACTGTTGCTACTACAACTACTGCTATTACTACTACTACAGCTACAACAACAACTACTACTACTACCACTACTATTACTACTACTACCAGAATTGGACCCTCTTCCTATTAATTTATATTAGAGCAGCCCACATTTCTGTCAACAGTCCTGACTAGAGCTACTACTACTACTACTCCTACTACTACTACTATTGCTGTATTGTCTTTACACTTTTAATTAGAGCCCGACCGATATATCGGCTGATATGGGCACCTGGAGACATATCGGCTATCGGCCGATATGCTTGCTGATATGGGCCGATATTTCATGTGGGCATGTTATACCTGGTTATAAAGCTTAGACTCTACATTATGTTCTACTACAGACAGATAAACTAATATGTGGCTATCAGTATTTATTTACTACTGACTTACTATTACTAACTTGATTTACTACTACACTACTATGCTCTCGTATACATTACTAGTTTCTAGCTCAACAATCAATTTGCTACACCTCACTCTACTACTCCTGCTTTATTACTACTAGATACTTTACTACTACTATCCTGTTTAGTAGCTAAATAGCTACATTACATTACTTCTCTGTTTTACATACCCCAGAGTCACGTCACTTCACTCACGTGCTATTGTTTACACCGGCAGCAGTGCACAACACTGAGATTATATTCTTTTTACGGACAATTGGTTTGAGTCTGAATTAAAAGGACATTTATTAGTGCAGACTTGTGATGTGAGGAGGAGCCTGTGTGAGCGGTGAGTGCTGGAAATACATCGAATTTGAAGCTAGTTTTGGCTATTTGTTATTAGCGATTAGCTGCTGTAGCTTCCGCACATAAACAGGCTGTTTTCTATTGGCCTATTGTAAAGTGACTATATTGGCCGTATATTTGCTACTGGACCAGCATTGATATGTAAATGAGCTGTGAATAGACGTGTGAATGATCCACATTTATGCATATAATTAAATAACGCGGCGCGCACGTTTTACGGTTAAAGGCTAATAACGGTAGCTTCTTTACTAGCTAGGAGTTATCGGTCGGTCGTGATCGAAGCGGCTCTTAGATCCGGCTCTTTGAAGCGAACAACGGGAGCCTGCTTCTTATTGGGAGCCGTGTTCTTTTTTCTCACTTTTTCTCACTTTTTCTCTTCATGCCGCATATAGACCCGTAGTTTGACAGCAGCAGCGTCTTTCAGAAATATGCGTGTGCATAGGATAAAAAAAAGTGCATATTTGGCTGTAGTTCAGCATAAAATGAATAAACCAGGACTAATCTTGGGCTCGAGTGAAGGAGAGAGATAGAAACCGAGTCCCGACACTCAGTCCTGGTTCAGTTCTGGTTTAGTCCTGCTTGCAACAAAACAATCTCAAGAGTCGTTTGGGAGCCGAAACAGCCAGCTGCTTTAGTGAGCCGAGCCAAAAGAGCCGGTTCTCCAAAAAAAAAAAAACTGGAATACCCATCACTAGTAGTAATGTGATGCAAAAATGCCATTGGGCCAATCTACTGTATGTAAATATTATGTAAAGAGTCAGAATAACAATAAATGTTGCCTAAATAAACCCAATTTAGAATCCACTAGAGCCAAACCTAAGTTTTTTAACAATTCAAGATTTACAGTGAATTTTTACATCACTAAATATATCGGCGATTATATCGGCTATCGGCAGCTCCAACTCTCATTATATCGGTTTCATATCGGCCACAACAAAATCCATATCGGTCGGGCTCTACTTTTAATAATGTTCTTATAAAATTGTCTATTTCTCGTTTTTTCAGATCATGCAGTGAACCACCCACCTCTGTGACCCTCCAGTTTAGCTGCTTGTAGTACACACTATCATTCAGTCACTATGCCTTCCTCACATTCACAATCCAATCTGGAAAATGCCTACGTCTCCATAATGAGAGGAATTAAACAGCTGGATCTCCGTGGTTCCAATGTCCCATGTGACCTGGTTTTAACTGGAGATGACGCATTTCCATTGGCGATGAACAGTCACGGTCAAGTAGTTCTAGCGGCTTCTATGTACGGTTCTGGTCGCATTGTTGTTCTAGGGCATGAAGGTTTTTTGGGTACGCAGCCAGCTTTGGTTGAGAACACTATAAATTGGCTGAACCAGGGGAAATCGCAGCCTGTTGGTGTTCATGTGTATTCCAAACACGTTGCAGAAAAGCTCCATTCTAAATTCCAGTTTAAAGTCATGAATGATTTTAGCAGTGGTCAAGGCATTGGGGTGTATGTAACTGATGCATACAATGTAGAGGGGAAAGCCAAAGACATTATAGAGTTTATGAAATGTGGAGGAGGGGTGCTGATCGGGGGGCAGAGCTGGTCATGGGCATCGCAACACCCCAAAGACAATACGCTGCTGCAGTTTTCGGGGAATAAAGTGTCCGGAGTGACTGGAGTCTACTTCTCCAAACACAAAGCAGACGCAGAGATCATCCCGGTCTATCCCCAAATCCCTGCCTCCTGGATGTCTGTTGTGTAAGTTCTTAAGATTATTCATATATGTGTGTATATGTGTATGTGCCTGTGTGTGTGTGCATGTGTATGTGTGTATATGGGGCACAATGACCAAATGAGTTCAATATATATTGAAATTTACTACAAAAATCGCCCAAGTCAGCTAAATAAGTAGACATACATTTGCAGACTATGTAACTTTTCTGGTGGAGGGTCTGACACTGGCAAGTCTCTAAGAGAAGCTATTACTTTTCCTGTTATCTTCCACAGTGTTGCATTACAATATATTTACCTAAACTATTTTTTTAAACAAAATTTTAAAAATTACTTTAAAAAGCATGCATTCTTACTAATAGGGCTTGCCTCTCCACTGATCTCAACAGTAACTTGTCTCAGATTGATGTCATATATCGCATGTGGCAAACCTTCCAACGAAAGACTTACATTGTGTACCTTTAGAATACTGAATATTAAACAAATTGTAAAAATAAAGTCTAAAATCTGAAATCTCTACTTACATCTACTTTCAGGTGTTGTTCTCCATTGTCTTCTTCAGATTTAATCTGACAAGTAATATATTTCATGAAATGTAAGATTTACATTCCATATATTTTGCTTTATACACTTCAGAGTTGGGAGAGATTTTGAGGACGACCTGGACTTCTTGCTCCAGGGCGTCTCAGAGTTTGACCTGATGAATGGCGTGGTGGCGTCTGAGATTCTGATCCATGGATCTCTGGCTTTCCCCATTGGGACCACCCCAGACGGACGAGCTTTTCTGGCCGGAGCCTACTACGGACAGGGGAGAGTGGTGGTGATCTCACATGAAGGACTGATGAAAAGAGAGGTAGAGAAGTGTAAAATTATAATTATGGCTGTATAATTAATCACATTTGTTCATTATGAATTGAAGGTGCACTATGTAACTTCTAAGGTGGAGGGTTCTCTCCTTGCTTATTTCCATGGAGATGTCTTTGTCTTTGCCTGAGATGTTCCACAGTATGACATTAAACATATCTCTCTTGCAGTTGTTCAATTACAAAATTCAAAAATTCCTGAGAAACATGAATTCTTACCATTCTATTATGATTACAAAGTTTATTTCCATACTGCGGACCCTCCAGCAGAAAAGTTACACAGTGCACCTTTACGTCTTTGTTAATCCCCAAAACGTCTCATAATATTAAACTTGTGTGTAAAGCCGTGTTTAAAGGAAATAAATAATATTTTCAGTTTCTCATAATATAATAATATCAGCTGATATCGGTTGATATTGGCTATATAGATTTAGCAGATACTTGAAAAAGTATCGACATCAGTATCGGAACAGAAAAAGCTGGACCGATGCATTCCTAGTTATAGTATTACATTCTTTTTTTAAAAGATAATAATTCTTCACAATTGTCTGCAAAATGTCTTCAATTAAAAAAAAAAAAAAGTATTGTTTATTGCTATGGCAACAGTCCTAATCTCTTAACATTCTGAAACCTAGGGATCGATCCTTGCTGATTTGTCTCATTAAATACATGTTTTATTTGTGTATTACTTGCCAAAATTCTAAATAAACTATAAACTACATTACTATATTATTTATTGTTTTTGGACAGACTCTTGCCCCCTTCTTCACTAATGCCCTGCACTGGCTGGACGAGGGCAGGCAGGGCGTCATCGGGGTTGTGCCAGGGCTGAACCAGGCCTACGAAGTCTTCAAGAAATTTGGCCTTAACTGTGAGAAGACTACGCTTCGTAAGGACCTGAGCGTGTATGTGTGCACGGCCTACAAGGAAGACGAGATACAGCAGATCCATGAGTTTGTGGCTGAGGGAGGAGGCCTGCTACTGGGAGGACACTCATGGCACTGGGCCCTAACTCACAAAGACAAGAATTATATGACTGAGTTTGCAGGTATGTACAGTGTTGGACCATAACTTCTCTATCAGTATCTCTATTACTTTGTCTGGTTACTGGCATACAGAACTGGAAAAAACAAAACACGTGTAAGGAGATAAATGAGGAGTGTTCTTACATGGAGATTAATAGGATTAGTTCAAGATTGCAGACAAACTAGATATACCTGTGTCAAAATTTTCCACACCACAATAAAAACAACAACTTGCAATTATAGACTTGTTTCTGCTGTTACTAAATTAACCTTACTAAATCGACCTGAATCAGGTAACCTGAATCACCTGAATCAGGAGAGGGATGAAAATTAATTCTTTATACAACAGAATAGGATTTTCATCATTAAATAATAGTACTTTCTAAATCAACCTGACACAACAGACCTTGTCAAGCTGGTTTAGGAAAGGGGTACCACAATGAAAATGTATTCTTTATGCAAGAGAAAAAGAATTTTCAACAGTAAATAATAGTACTTTCTTAATCAACCTGAAGCAGCAGACCTTCTCAAGATGTTTGAGGAGAAAGACACCACAATGAAAATTCATTATTTATAAAATAGAATAGCATTTTCAACATTAAATAGCTGTGCTCTCTAAATCAACTTGAAACAGTGATGATGTTTTAGGAGAGCGGGACCTAAAGTCCTAAAGCTGGAAACCCTAAAAATATCACATGGGGTAAATAACACACACATGAAGATGTCAATATGGACCCTCCACCAAAAAAGCAAAAATATATTAAAAGTAGTTTTTTTTTTAATCAGACTTTTTGTGTCACATTATATTAACATTACCCATTCATTGAGAAAGAAACATTTCACACCAAATACCACCAGATCTAAACCAGGTCTAAACCTGTTAGAACCCAGCTCTGCTAGGGACAGGGGAAGTAACAAAATAACCAAGATGTAAAAATGGTAAAACTAAAGTGGTAATTTATAAAAAAAAAAAAAAAAAACTGTTAAGGTAAAACTAACAAAAGCTGATATTTACAATGATTAAAAAAAGAGGCTCTAAACAGAGTGGCAAACTAACTAGTATAACTAAAAGTAGGCTATCAAAAACAGTATACAAAATGACAATAACAGAAATAACAGAAATACAAAACCAGTCTCCAAACTAAGTCGCAAGAACTACTAGTGTCTCAACTACAAAATTATTAAGTGCAACACAAGAGACACAGCAAATGACATGCAGTCCACAGACAGAACAGCTGCCATGAGTGGCAGGGGCCGGATCCTTTATGGGGCTGGTGCTGCAGGTGTAGGCCCAGGATTGGCCAGGTGTTAACGGTTTTCCACCAATCAGCTAGGGAGGAACTGGGTGCCAGCTTCAACTGAACCCACCAATCACAGCAGGGGTTTGGAGATCTAGGCTTGCATGCACAGACACAAGGATTAGCAGCAGAGACTTAAACAGATGTGGATATAGGATATAGGTCTGAACCAAGTCTAAACTAGGACTACATAATTGCTATACTAGCTTTAAAGGGCTTATATTACGCAATTTTATAATCTATGTCATAATGTTGTTTCCTCATCACTCTTTCTAATCAGATGCAGAGAGTATAGGGCAAACTTTTGAGCAGCTACTTATACAATATAACTGTACTGGGGGAAGACATTTTGCTCAAATATAGGGGGAAGAAGCAAGGACTTTAATCAAGGCCTTTAAAATTTCCTTGTTGTTTTTCTTGGTGTAATTCCATAATAATCATTGAATAGTGACAGTCCTTCACACTAATCAAAACACTAAAATATATTGTGACATTGCTAATAAATTAATAAATTTTGCACTTGCTTTTATATTCCTTGTAACTTTGGTCTATTTTTCTATGTGATATAATTATTATATTCTTTGTTGACACATTACAGTAGACACAGTATATATGTGTTTTTGTTTGGTTTATTTTTATCACATTTTTCCTCCAGCTTAATAAAAAATATTCATAATATATATAATTAAACAAAAACAAAACTATAATAATAATAACTAATAGAAATGTAATTAAACTAATAAAAAATATATATAAATATTATTTTTCTATGTGACGTAATATGTTCCATTGTACTCCTTTAGGAAACAAGATCTTGAACAAAATGGGCATGACTCTGTTGGAGAAGTACATTACAGACGGGGCCTATAAGCCTCCAGTTCCCAGCCAGGCCATCAAAAACACGTACCACTTCAGACACATCCTGCATAAGTTCGCTGGTCATGTGACTAAAGGCGAGCAGCTGGCTAAACACGAAGAAGAGTGGCTGAAAAAACTGAGCCAAGATTGCACCACCTACCTGCGACTGGATTCAAGCAACAACAACTACAAGCAGATCCTCAGCACCTTCACAGAGTTGATAAAGAAATGTGGAATGCCAGAGGTAAGTTTAAAGGGTCTATATCACACAAAATTGACTTTTGTGAGCTTTAAGCCATGTTGTAATGTTGTAAATGTAAAAACACAGTGGAGTACTTCCTGTATTACCACATGACATCACAAGGTGGCGTTTTCCAAGTTCACCTTTAAAGATTCCCAAGTGAAAATTAAAGAAATTGTTTTCTGAGGAAAGTCCCTGATTCTAACATACATAAGATCTCAGCTGCATAAGTAGAGCTGTTGTTGGAGGTTTGAATCCCACTAACAAATTCATATAGTTGTTGTGCCATTGGGCAAGACACTACTCCTCTGTACACTTTATTCCCTCATATTGCTTCTGTGAAATTGACTATGCACCATATATTTTTTGACCAATTTTCACTGTGACTAACTGACAACCTATAAAGATTTTTCATTTTTCTCACAGTGATTACAATGTCTTCTCTGCTATTTTGCACTACAATCAACGATAATTAGCAAGCCAGAACATTTCTTCTCCTTATAGAACTTGCACAACCTCATTTTAATATTGTTTTTGTTGTAGGCATGTCAGAGCTGCCCTGTGAAAACTCCCAGAGACAAGTTTCTGTTGCATGTTGGGACAGAGGTGTATAAGGTCTACCCAAACAAAGAAGAACTCCTGCCCTATCTCATCAAAAACAATCCCATGCTACCGGTCGTTTACAACTACAGGGTCAACATAAGCGTAGACACTGCAGGTACAAGTATATACAGTTATGATATGGATGGAGACTGTTAAAGGATCCATATTAAGCTGTTTTCTGATCTATGTTCTAATGTTGTTTCCTCATCACAAACAGACCTGGAGTTTTGTTTTATTTCATTCACACATGTTTAACACATAAACCCTGCATATTTAGGCTCAGTTCTTCTCAGTAATACAGGAAGTGCTCCACTGTGTCTTTAAACTCCATAGGATCACTTGGACAATCAAAGCCCTTGAATTGTCAAACTCTACAGAACAAAAGGTAAAAAAGTAGCTGTTAACTTGAAAACTACTGCTTCAAGACATCACAAGGCAGAACGGAGCATTTTGAGCTTAGGAAATGTAGACAGACTAAAAATAAAGGATACTCAAACATGCATAAATGAAACTAAACACAACTCTAGGTATGTTTTTTAAGAATATTTTTGTTTTTCTGTACTGAATCAAATCTGTTTTCGATAACATTTCTATCAGGTGGAGCAGAGTGGGTGAGCACGGGCCTGTATCTGTCTCCTGGGATGAAAACCTACATATCCATACCAACAAGCATCGTCAACAAGGGCTGGAATGTACAGTATACTAACAAACATATAGTTATCATGTAATCATACTACCGTAGTTACATTAGTTATGAACAACTATTTTCCATACATTTGCAGGTGCAGATTGGATGCCAGACAGACAGTCTTGTGAATGCCGCAGTGTTGAAGAGGGCTCCATGTGTCTGTGAGAGGTTCCCAGTCACTTCAGAGATGATGCAGGTGCACAACCTTTGGGGGGGGCTCATTTACCTGGTGGCTCCACCTAAAACTCAGGTGCAAGGAGCGGAGGTCGTAGTTCAAATGGCTGTACCTGCTCCATACTATAAATCAGGTGAGTGTAATCATGGTTATATTTTTATGGTCGTTTCTTGAATCCAACATGTAGTATAATTGTTCACACCAGGATCACCTTGTACTATTTAGATCAACCTAAATCAGAATGAAAAATAACTATAAGAAAAAAACTTGGATAATGTTGAAGATTCATAAACAGTTATATTAAACTATAGCAAAGCTTAAAGGTGTAGTATGTAACTTTTCTGATAGAGTGTCTGTAGTGGCTAAATTTCCCTTCTTGTGTTCTGTGAGTTCTCCTTTTCGTATTCATTAAATTAACCACTTTCAGACGGAAAGAACGAGTCTACTCGTGTTTAGGTTTTAACGACGGTAGAAAACAGTGTGTTCACCCCGTCTTTACTGAAATTTTCACACAAGCAAAAACAGACTAATGGTTTTCCCTTACACCCATGCGCGAGCTCAAAGTGCCAGCTCCTATTGACTATACATCTGGAAATTCTACACTAATTAATCTAAACTAATTCAAACTAAATTAAAATTACATTAAATACAAATGATCAAATATAGTACTGTAATGTAATCCTAAATATGCTATGACATGCAGTCACTACATATAAAATAAATTATAATATTAATCTGAATCTGAACTGAATCTGGGCCTAAACTGCAACATAGAAAATGGCACCAACAGTGTCTGCCACCTTCTAATCTCTGTGGAAATGTTATTGCTTTGTCTAGAATGCTCTATAGTAAGTCATCAAACTTGTCTAACTTATATTTATACAACTGCAGTTGTTTTTATAGCTGAAAATACTTTGAAAAATACAATGAGCAGGTTCACCTCTGCACAGATCTGTCATGTAACCTGTCTCGTTGTCTCATAGGAGACATTACTGAAACATACTGTGAAACATTTTAGATAAAGCAATATCATCTCCAGACCTTTAACGAGAAAAATGACATAGTGTACTTAAAAAAAAGTTGTATAAATAAAACATATATGCATAATTATCCATTGTGTTCATATCCAATCCTCACAGTCACATTCTACAGTTTAAACTGACAGTTGTACCACATGTAGTCTGGTACTCAGTCAGATCAAACAACACTTTGTTTGTATAGGAAATATTCAAATACTGTCTGTATCAGAACTGAAAATCATTCTCTCTCACGACATCTATGTACTTATGATCAACACTGACTAGATTGTACTATGCAAACGCTGTTAAACCTGTAAACCGTTGTTTGCCTACTCTCAGACAGAGAGCACAAAAATGAATTGTGATATTTTTTAAATTAAATTCAGTTCATGACTATTAAATAAATGTTACATAATGCGAGTGTTGGCCCTTGTTTACAGTATGGTTACTAGGTAGTTATGGAAAATAACTATTGTACACTGCTAGTCGAAAGTTTGGATTCATCCTCTCATTCAATGTTTTTTTACTTTTTACAAATTTTTGCATTTTCTATACATACAGAAGACATAAAATGTACAAAGATATATGGAATTAAATAACTAATACTAAGTATCTTTTTTAATATTTTATAACTAAGTCCTCAAACTAGCCACCCTTTACTTTGTCAAAATGTGTCAATTTAGTTTCTTTCTGTACTAAATAAGTACATTTATCTTGGTTAATATATCTGATGTATATCTAAAATGTAGAAATTGGTAAGAAAAAAAATAGAAGAAAAAAAAGTGAGTGAGTGGTAGTGCATATATACCGTGTCATATCAGCTGCCCATGTCCAACAGGTAAAACTATAAAGTACTGAAATAATTTAAACAGAAAAAACTTGGCAAGCTTGTAGTAAAATCTTAAATCTAATCATGTAAAGTGCATTGTAATGAAGAGCGCTTTAAGGACCCTCTTTTTGTCCCCCAGGAGTGACGTCTCTGTTGGACTGGCAGCTGCTCCGTACGGCGCCCTCTCCCTGGGCAGAGCTGGAGTTTGAGAACATCATCCTGGCTGTGCCCTCTGAGGTGGTGCGGAACCTGGAGCGTCCTGATGAGTTGGCAGCTCTCTGGGACAGGATCATGAGGGGCATTGCAGACCTGGCTGCTATCCCACCCAAGTTTAAAAGGAAGGAGCGGTTTGTCTGTGATGTGCAGATCTCACATGGTAATGTTTGTTTTTTTGTTTTTTTTGTTTTTTTTTTAGATTTATATTATTTTCTGATATGACACACTACAATAGAGTTATTATTAACTATTTACCAATCTCTCATTCTCAACCAGTAAACAAATCAATATAGAAGCAATACCTATTATGAATGACAAACAAATTTGAACCAAAAACCTATTTAACTCATTTAAATACTTATATTGTGTCCAAAGGTCTTATCAAATTGTATTCTGTATGTTTTTCATTCAGGCTGGATGCATGCAGGCTACCCCATCATGACTTTCAGCGAACCAGCTAAAAACTATCGTCAATGCTCAACTTATAAAAAACAAACCTATTTGGGGCTTCATCCACGAACTGGGCCACAACCAGCAGAGAGGATGCTGGGAATTCCCTCCTCACACGACCGAGTGCACATGCAACCTGTGGTCTCTGTATGTGCACGAGACTGTGCTAGGATTCCCAAGAGAAGAGGTATTTCATGTTTGTGTCATGACTCTGTATTTATAACAAAGAAAAGGCTCAACCATAGACTGCATAAAGTGGCCTAAAGGCTGCCACACACTACATTAAATTTGCCAGATTTAGGCTGCGATTTGCTTCTCCTCGAGTTCAGGGAGGCTTGACCCGATATGATTTTAAAGACGCTACACTCCTTGTGTGTGTGCCTGTGCGTGTCTTACTCTGAGCTGCTCTGTCAAATGGTAACCACCAAAAAATCAGCAATGCTACAGTAACAGCCAATAAAACAGAGCGTTAGGGGCAGAGGCGTGACGACCAATTGACTGTTATTTTAATTCCATACATCTTACTTATACATCCATATCCTGCTGCGATTGGAGATTTAAAATCTCATAAGATTCTCCTCTTGACTGTGGTGTGTGCTTTTTGTCACATGTTTAAAAATCATCTAAGATTGAAAAATCCTGTAGGTGTGGGAGGCCTTAATGGAAGAGTGATGTCACCCATAGCGTTCGGGTCCAGTCAAATGAAGCTCATGGAGGCTGGTTATGGAGCGAAATTGGAGATGAGTTCAATGTTAGGAATAGGAATTTATTTATGGACAAAATAACAAAATAAAAACACCAGGATCACGTAAAGCGAGTTAATGCGAACATTTTAAGACCAAAATGACCATTGGGGTGACAATTTTTTCAGTTGGCCAATTGAAGCTGGAGTTGATGGAGGCGGAAGTCTGTCCATGCTCACTTCTTAGACCTTGATTTTTTTTTTTGTCAGAAATTATGTCTAATAATCTTGTGTCTAAAAGTCTGACATAGTTCAAGATCAATGTGTTTGACCATCAGTTTTTGTCTCAATAGTTTATTTAAAGGTCTTATGTAAAAATGTTTGTTTGAGTAATCATTTATTATTAGTCTGTCTGTTTCTCCAAAGCTCAGTTTTCAATTAATGTCTACCTTCTACCTTTAGTTCAGTAGAGATTGGCAATTCCAGGGCTGAAATGATCCAAATGATTCTAGTGAAAGTGTACAGACATTAGGCATATGGGTGTTAAGAATGTTGTGATGTGAACTCAGTCCATGTAGTTATTAGTATGGCAATGTTCAGAGAAATGCTAATCTTAAATGGAAAACAGCCGTCACCCTTCCTTCTGTGAACCAGGAATGAGTCACTCCACCTCCAAGCAGCCTCATCCTATCGACTTCCTTCCTTCCCAAAATATTCCAAGTTTTTTATAAAGATCTGCCTTTGTAGAATTTTAACTGAATTTGAATATCTATGACTTACTATAACAAACTGGAAAACCTTCTGTAACTGCTTTTCTTCATCGAGATATTATTGCTTTGTCTGGAATGTTTCACAGTATGGCATTAATAAACTTTTCTATCTTTATGGAGACCAAACCAGATCAAGTTAAAGGTCAGATCTGTGGAAAGGCGACCCCGCTATCAGTCAGAATGCTGTTTTTCTATTGTAGGAGCCATTCGTGGGTTTTCTATTGGTTTCCTCACGTGAGTAATGTGCACTATACTGCGGTGTCTGGGGGTGGCACGGTGGGTGTGGTGTGGCCTATATATGAGCGCGCTCACCTGTTGAGTGTAAGGCCTTGGATCATGGTGGCGGGGTGAGCACGGGGAGCAACTTTCTGTTGACCGTATTTTAACAGGAAAGATTTGCATATAGAAGGTATCGGTGCATGGCTACGGACGGCAGCAGCTTTAAAGTAAGTGCTCTAACGCGTATGCCTACTATGACAAACAAGTACCGTGTATATGCATTTGTTCCGAGTTACGTGTCCACAGTGTTTTTACCCCGTGTCTTAGCCCGCCGTGGCGTGTGGGATAAGCATTGGGCTACATACGCCGCAATATCTATGTATTTTTTGAGTTATAACACTACCTGTAATTGAATAAATGTAATGTAAGGTAGAGCTGTTTGATGTCATACTGTGAAACATTCCAGGCAGACTAATGACATGTCCATAGAAACAAGCAGGTGACGGACCCCCAACCAAAAAGTGACATAGTGGAAAATTATTTAGAACCCAATATAACCATCGCTGAATGACAACAGAGGCCTTTTGACATATGATGAAACAGATCATTTTTCAATCAAACGATGTATAGGTAAATAGATATACATTTGAATTCATATTTGAACACATGTATTCCTCTGATCTCTGACAGTGTGAGCCATCCATGCGGCTGGAGAAGCGTCGCAATCGAATAAAGGAGTATGTGAAAGGCGGTCGAGACCTGGCGAAGTGGAACACTTTTGTGGCTTTGGAGACTTATCTTCAGGTTTGCCTATCATTTTACAGAAGGATAAATATAATTCCCTTAATTTAATCTTTATTTTTCTGTTAGCAAGTAAAGCATTCACCGTTTACTCACCAGTGGTTTTATTAGAGTGATTAGTCCATGTTTAAGTAATTTTTAATCACTTATATTCAAAACACCATATTGCCGATCAATCCGTTTTTACTGGCCAGGCTGGCGCCACCTAGTGTCTCCACTCAATTTCATTTCTCTCCAGCAACTAGGTCAGGAATCGGAATACACTAGACAGTTTGCAAGAACCCAGAAGTTGTAGACCACGCACCGGGCAATCAGTGAAGCCTTGATTGGGTCCCTTTTATGGTGCAGCACAACAGTAAACAAAGCGGTCGAGATGGATGTAGATGAAGATATACATTTTGTGTTGGCATCGATTCCCAAGATCAAGGATTTAAAGCCTAGAATCCTAATGCTGCGAGGTCAGACAGTTTCCACGAAGTGAAACCGACTAATGAATCAGGCTGTTTTTACTGTCACCGACATTTGCTCTGTACAGCTCTGTACTTTCTTCACTCTCCAGTTTTATTTTGAAAAAGTCAAAATAGTAAATTTTTGATGGCATGATGAGAGTTGCCAACTCTTTGTTTTGATGACGTTTACTGTGACGTCAGCTCCCACTGGGCACCATGTATTACAATTTAAAAACACAGTGGAGCACCTGCATTACAACATGGAATCACAAGGTGTTTCCATGTGTTGCAGGGTTTGTGTATTACTCCAGGTATGTTTTTGATGAGGAAACAACATTGTACCATAGATCAGAAAATAGTGCAGTATGGGCCCTTTAATTCTCTAATCACTTAAAAATATATATCATATATTGTTGACCTTTATAAATCTACCACTAATAATTTACCTACTGATTATTTTCATGCATTTCTCTTTTGCAGCTCCAAGAGAAGTTTGGCTGGGACTCCATTAAAAAGGTATTCGCTGCCTACCACACAATGACCAATGTGCCCAAGAACAACAAAGACAAGATGAACCTGTACTGTGTGACCTTCTCTGAGACTGTGAGCAAGAATCTGAGCAGGTTTTTCAAGGCCTGGGGTTGGCCAATAGAGGACGCCACTGAGCAGAAACTCTCCAGGTTGCCAGCCTGGACTGACCACCCCATGACCCAGTACAAGTGATACTGGTTGAAATCTGTGTAAAACTGGTGTTGGGTTTGAAGTCTACAAACAAATTTCACATGAAGGATAATAAGACATGATAAGAAATGTTATAAAAATGCTGCATTGTCTAGTTTGTTTTTTCAGATATATATTTTAAAGGGGCACTATGTAACTTTTCTAGTGGAGGGTTTGCTATTTTGTACCAAGAATATTTCATTAAACGTGTGCACTACTGTATCTCCATGAGGACAAGCAGAATCTGTGGAGTGTACAATATTTTTCGAGGTATTTTTGAACACGAAAAACACCCATAACTCTATAAATCCAGGTAAAGCAATAAGATACGGAGACAAACAGTGCCCTCGCCAGAAAAGTGACATAGTGCACCTTTATTTTAAGGAACTGTTAACTGTTGGAAACAAAAAAAAGATGTACTGTACCTGTCAAACGTTGCTTGGTTAGGAGACTGAACTGTCATTTTTTGTCATCAACATTCTTACAATAAAAATAACATAGAATATAATTTAGTAGCTTTAAAGTAAGTTGAAAATGACACCAAGTGGTCGTCACTCACTCATAGTCAATGGAGATTTAGGCCACATCATTTCATTCTTGGTTGGGGAGGGCATCAGAGAGAAACTATAATGGGGTTCAGTGCACCAAGGACAATGCCTAGATAATCCCATCAAACACTCACCCATATACATTTACTCAGAGCAATACACACAACCACTGTTGAGATGGACTGAGAGTGTAGTTTAATGCTACCACTAATGCACGACAGACTCAAAAGTGTCTTGCCCAAGAGCATAACAGTGAGGGATTGTAACTTATACTCCTGTACTCTAATCTGGGAGTTTTTTTAGGCCTACTTGAGGAATAATACAGACCACTTTATAATAACTTCAAAAACTGGGCTGGAATCCACGAGTCCAGAATGATGAAAAAGATAGGAACATTGCCATAGTAATTAACAATTCACAATTAAATATTATATTTTTTAATGGTCAGTTGTCCTCAAAATGGCACCATGTAGTAAGGTTATGAATACCTGGATTCACATTCAAGGAGTCTTCAATATCAAGGTTTTTACAGTATTTATTATTGAAAAAGTAACAGTCCTGGCAAGTGTCTTTATTAATAAATTACTACATCAGTTATTATCATTACATATCTACATAACTGGTGGACTTAGGCCTGTCACCATAAATATTAAATCGACTTATTACTCAGTAAATGACAGTGTGCCACTCAGGTGACCAGATTTTCAAAATTAAAAACTGCGACATCCCCGTTTTTGGTGGTTGGTAACAATAAAATTGTCAAACACTGTTATGCAGACCATTCATGACTAACATGTGAGCCAGTATAGCCCCATTTTCTTTGTGTCATTTTTAAGCAACTTTTCTATATTTTACCTCAACAGACAATGTATGCCTATCTTTACTGTTGGAAGGTATCAGATTGATCAAAAATAGGGACACCTGGGACATCAATGTGACCCCGAGGAGAGCATGTGTTATGGCACAACAATGAAGGAAAAAAGGAGAATTTATTTTACAATGAGCAGAATGTGTGCTTGGAGCAGTGCTCGGAGCAGTGCTTGGAGCAGTTTGTCTGGAACAAGTTTTTCAGCCTGATCTCATAATGACTCCACGAGTTCTGGTTCAGTTTGGGGTTTTGGGGGATGACATTGGTCAGAGTGAAAGTGGCGTTACGGCTCGGGACTGTAAGAAAATAGTTGAAAATATAAAAGTTATAGGCTATGTGAATTTAAATGTGATGATGTGGTATTTGGTATGTCATCACAGCATTCTATTGGCCAATATTATATTATACAGATGGGGGCAGCTAAAATTAATATTGTTCAACTGCAGATTTGTGTTGTAATACAGCAGGTCTTGGTTCTAGTCTATAATAGAAATGATTAGGATCCATTTTGGAATTTCACTTTTCCAATATTGCATAGCAAAGCACAGTGTGATAAATAGGAAAAACTGTGTCTTTCCCCCATCTGGAAGTACAACATCTCACATTGTAGAATCTGAAAACCAGCAATGATGTAATTAGCCTGTGTTTTATCATTCAGTCAAGAATTTACTTTGCAATAGGCTACAGCAGCAATAGAAACTTCAAAACAAATCACTTTGGGGTAACACTTAAAACAACTACACCTTATAAAGCATGAAGAAAGACTTAATTACTAATGAGCAAACTGTTAATTAAGAAGCCTAAATGAGCTATTTTGTTACTATTAATTAACTATTGTTTTTTATGAATTAAGTCTTTCTTCATGCTTTACTAAAGCTAATTAAGGTGAAGTTAGCGCTTGGTAAGTTCACCATGTATAATTATTTACTACATGTTTATTACTGCCAAATCACACTTGTCACGTGGTCCCTGGGCTGCAGTTGGCCCCCAAGTGTTTTAGGTGTTATCAATACATTGCTTTCAGAATGAGGAAAAATGACAACTGTTGCCATAGTGATTAACAATTACAACAAAACAATACACTATCTTGATTGTGAGGCCTTTCAATACAGTATTGCTTCTAACTGAGAAGATGAAACCCATGAATGCTCTGCTGCCCTCTGCTGGCCATGCCCCTGTATAACCCGTACAGCGCCTGATTCTCTCCCAGATACACCCCAGGGTGGTCCTGTCGCAGCCTGGACGTGGTGTTCATCTCAGCCTGCCAACTACTGTTCACCAGCTGAAACAACCAGTATCAAATATCCATGTTTATAGTGTACCATGCAGAATCACAAAGGTGGGTAGCATATTTACTGTAAGTAACTCTTTCCTCTGTAAGTAAATTACAAGTGACAAATGTTTTCTGTTGACAAGATGAATTCCTTTCCCCATATATATTTTATTTTCTTGGATCACTACTTTGTATTTTTACTGGAGTATTATTTTTGAATTAATGGTGCTACTTGAGTACATTTTTGGGCTACTCAACCTACTTCTCATCAGTTGTAATACTGTATCATTTTAGTTTCAGTATTTAACATATTGTGAAATAAGTAGAATTGTGTAGAATCTTGCCAACCTGAGGCTCCACAAACCATCTCTCCTCTCTGCCTCCTCCGTTACTTGGTTGGAAGTAATAAGCAGAGTAAACAGGAATCCGGTGCTTGGTATCGTACAGAGTGGCAAAGTGGTACCTAAAGAAATTATTATTATTTCTAATACATAAAGAAGTATAAGTGAATATACAGAATTTAAAGAAGTATAAGTGAATATACGTGTGAAGTGAACTAGCTGTATCATGTACTCCTGTTGACAAACCTGTTCACAAATCTCTGGCAGATTCGTGCAGCGTTGGGTGTAGAAGATCCCCAGTCAGGCACCATCTCTCCGTAGAAGAACTCCAGGCACCCGGGAGCATCCTCAACACAGTGACCAAGTACACAGAAAGTATCATTATTGTGATTTAATGCGTTTTTTTAGAGTTGTAGTCAAGTTACATTTTTTCAAATCCCAGTCAGCTATGACCAGTAAGATTTGAGTTCAAGTCAAGTCCGAGTCATTGAAGAACAATTATTGTCCTTACGTCTGACACCCATGGATCATTATGTTCATCTAAAATAACTTTACAAAATAAACAATTCCACTGACTTCTGTGTTCATAAACTGTGGTGCCCAATAGGAGCTCTTGTCTCCATAAACTTCATAACAACAAAAAAACGGCAGCTTTGAAGGATAACTACACATCACACTAGTGAGTGTCTTTGCTGCTGAATTATATGTGTATCACTGCCTAACAAAAGAAAAATGAAGAACTAAGAGTACAGAGTGTGGGTGTGTACTGGTGGTGGTGAACAGGAGGACTGATCTGTCTGGTGTCTTGAAAATAAGCGATTAAAGATTGTATGCAGAAATCACTCCAAATTCAACTTCAAGAGGGTCAGTGACAAGGGAAACAACTATAACATGTTTAAAAGCTCTGAAAAGTCAATTTAGCAGAGTCGCATGGAGAGCATTCTTATTATTATTGTGTTATTCAGTGGGTGTTTTTACATCTTTAAGCTGACTTTGAATTTAAAGCCATCATTAAACACAATTTTAAAGGTTTTTTTAAAGGATATGGGAAGAGTCTAAGTTCAAGTCTATTGTTGTTCCATGAGTCTGAATCCTTTTCCTGAACCATGATGAGTCACTGCCCTCAAGTTATGTCATGTTAAAAAAGTAAAATAAATAAATAATAATAAATAAATAAAATAACAATATCAAATAAAAAAAATATTTACAGAATTTTTACCCTTCCATGCATTAAATGTCTTGTATGTATGTATGATTTAGTCCTGTATCAGTCTGTACAATTAAACCATTGAGAATGATTCACAGTTGTACCACTGCAGAAGTTACATTTTCTTATTTTTTGTCATTATAAATCGATTGATTATCAATGCTTTCAAAATAGAACCCCAGATGTCCTTAGTGATCTCTTAGTCAGTGCATAAAAATAGGGTCAAATCAAGAAGCCAAACTGGTGATACTGACCTCAAATCTCTCCACGACATCTGCACAGACCCAGCAGAGGAGTGAGAGAAGAGTGCACAGACCGACCAGCTTCCCCATTTTGAACAGAAGCACTGCTCCTTTCCTTAAAACATGTGTCATAATGTCTTTTCAATGCTTACAGTAATTATTACATCTGATAATAAAATAACTCAAGTAAAATAAAGCACTAAGTTCCTTCGCTCAATTTCATTTCTCTCCAGCGACTGGATCAGGAATCAGAATACACTAGACAGTTTGCAAGAACCAAGTGTGAGTTCGGGCACCAGCCAATCAGTGAAGAGACATACATTCTGTGTTGGCAACGATTCCCGAGAATGAGGATTTAAAGCTGGAACAA